CAAAAGTCATTTCCTCAGTCAGTTCCCTTCATCTCCTGCCCTTGCTCCACGAGTCTCATTAACCGATCGTTTGGCCTAAAAGGTTTTATTGATATATTTTTTTCATAACACAACATCACCTCACAAGTAAAATGTTTAAGACTTAAAGAAACAAAACACAATTGGTTTTGAAGGTACAACACTCTGTCACAATACAAGAGGGGTCCTCTTTTTTAAAGTAAGTAACAGCAACCAGAAAAAACTGCTTGAGTAAGGGAAACAATTACCTTAAAAAGTTTTGTGAAACAACAGTAAACAGAAAAACAGAAAAGCCACTTTAATAAGTAAAAGACAAATCTAGCAAAACTTTTAAATGTCGAAATATTAGGACATGTTTCAAACCTTAGTAAGTCCGTAGAAAGCACATTTTTCAAAATGAACAAAATGATAGATTGAAAATATTCTAAGCAAAACCATAATATAACATAATTGTTAGTACACCGACTATATATACGAATCGAGATACTTGTTAAATGAATACGACATGATAGGAATAGGTGGTCCCTTGTCACTTCACTTCACTGCCTGTGCTCGCCGCTATGGCAGCCGAATGGGACCGAATGACTAGGCAAATGTGGCCTGACGAAGGTGGTATGGATAAATAGTCTAAAACAATCGAACATTGAGCAGCTACACAGGGCATATGTGTGAATTAATGATCTGGCAAGATGTTTAAAGTCAGGTAGGTATCGAATAATAACGTGCTAATGATAGGGAAGTATTACCAAATAATGACTAGAAGAAGGAAGGTATCAGATATTGACAGAAATGTTTGCATCAAATATAAACGGGCACGGAAGAACCGAAAATATCTGGCAGGGTAGTCTTGGCGTGGATCATCAATGATAACGGGAGATACCAGATACACTGGGCCCAAATATGTATCGAATAATGAACGGGCAGGGAGGTATCGAATTTCGTTAGGGAAGAGAGGTATCGAATGATGAACAGACATTGAAGGTATCGAATATTGGGTTAGGGTTGCGGTTAGTGTTGCGGTTAGGGTTGGGGTTAATGTTAGGGTTAGGGTTGCGGTTAGGGTTGTGGTTAAGGTTAGGGTTATTGTTAGGGTTAT